ATCTTGTTGTTCTGCGTGAAGATTGCCCCGAGACCAGTCGGGCTAGCATCGACGATGATCTCGGACAGTTTTCTCGCATCGAAATACTCCATAACATGGGCTCCGGCTAATGCTTTTTGGAGATCTCGAAATGCGTCTTCGTGGCGTCTTCCCCATATCCACGGTGTGTCTTGCCGTGTCAGTTCACGTAATGGCGTCGTGATTGTGGCGTAGTTAGGAACAAAGCGTGCCACGTATTGCGCCATGCCTAGGAAGGACTTTTCTTCGGATGCGTTGGTTGGCGGTGGAGCGTTAACAAGCGCGTCAATCTTTTTCGGATCTGCTGCTAGGCCATCTTTCCCAAAGACATGTCCATAGAATGACACATGAGGTTGCGCGAATTTGCATTTCTCCAAGTTCAGTCTGGCATTATAGTCCTGTAGGCGCTTTAGAACTGCTTTCAAGTTTGCATCGTGCTCTGACCTTGTTTGGCCGTGAACGATAATGTCGTCTGACATGTTGAGACAACCCTTGAGATCTCTGAGAATCTCGGCGATCGTACTCTGAAACACTTCTGATGCTGCGTTAACGCCGAAAAGAAGCCGCTTATAGCGGAATAATCCGGCGTGTGTGCTAAACGTTGTCATGTATCGCGATTTCGGATCAAGTTCAAGCTGGTGATATGCACTCGTGAGATCTAATGTGCTGAATACGATACTGCCGTTTAAATCAGAGATCAGCTCGTCGATTGTTGGCATTGGATGTTTCTCACGTACTATTGCGGCGTTCGCTGCTCTCATGTCAATGCAGATGCGCGTTTTCCCATTTTTCTTGGGGACGGCAACAATAGGGCTTATCCATGGCGTCGGGCCATCTGCTTTCTCAATAATGTCAAGTTTGACAAGTCTGTCTAACTCCGCTTCCACGTCTCGGCGTATGTGGAAAGGAATTCTCCTATGTCGTTGCTGCTTCGGCGGTATCTCAGTGTTGATGTGTAGTTTCGCCTGGCATCCGCGAAGTTTTCCAATACCTTCCTTGAATAGATCTGGAAACGCTTCGACGACTTCAGATTTTGCTTGAGGCTCTAAGTTGACGTTACAGTTTATGTAAATTATGTCAAGTGCTTGGGCAGTTCGGAAACTAAGCAGGTTACCGCCTGTCCCCGAGACAACGTAGAATACTGCCCTTTCCGATGCTTCACGGTGGCGTACGTTGGCGGTAAACATTCCGATGACAGGTATCGGCGTCTTTGAACCATAAGGATACAGCATGGCTCGCGGTTGCTGGAGCTGTTCTGTGTGCGGTCGCGATTTGCGCAACTCGTCGTATGATTTCTCATCAATGATGTTTACTGACGCACCGGAATCAATCATGAACTGCACAGGACTAGTGTTAAGTTTTATGCGGCATCGTGGTAGTCGATTTTTCCCTGATTGGGCTAGCAGGATACTCACGCATGCACGCACGCACGTAAGCAGGTATACTCACGCATGCACACACGCATTCACGCACGCACGCACGCACTCACAGCCATCGCATCCGAACTTCTGATTCTGTCATTAATCTGAACGAAATATATGATGAAGAAACTCGAATATTAATTAACCAAATTTTGGATACTGTTAGGGTTACGGACGCGTAACACTGTAAAGGGCATTGCTACACAACTGCTCATCAAATTTAATCAAACTCATATCCATTGCATAAGGGAGATGTCTCTCTACGCTCTCGATTAAAAATTTGTCATCTGAACGAAATACATGACGAAGAAACTCGAATATTAATTAACCAGATTTAGCAAATTACTTACAGCACGCAATCTTTGCATATCACAATCAAAAATCATGAACAATTCACAAGTAAAATACACGTACGGCTATTGCACACTATACTCTTATTGCACACTTATTGCACTCTTATTGCACACTATACATTCCCCCATCCATGTAAATGTCTATGATTAGATCAGGAGTGTATCAAGGATTTGAGTGTATCAGGATCTGAGTGTATCCGGATTTTGATACACTCCTGATTAGATCTAGTACGTGCGTTTATTCCTAACGTTGTAAAATTCAACGTTGGTAACTCGATCATTCTCACTCAGTATTCTCATCATATTTTCTGGAGGTGGCATGTAGGCCCTACTATACATTGAGTGTGAGATCGTAATGATCTCAACGACGTCTAGCTCGCATAGTAACATTTTTCTTGGCATAGATATTTATTTAATTTATTTTCTGAATATTATGAAATTTCTAGTTGTTCATTATGCACGATGCTTTGGTGAAATCGGAAGAGACATAGAAGGAGAGAAACCCTATGCATGTGATACGTGTGACTACAGGTGTAAGCAACAAGACGGTCTTACGGCACACAAGCGAACTCACACAGGAGAGAAACCATACGCGTGTGATACATGTGACTACAGGTGCCGTCACCTATCCACTCTTAAGACACACATACGAACTCACACATGAGAGAAGCCCTATGCGTGTGATATGTGTGACTACAGGTGCAATCAACCAGCAAATCTTAAGGCACACAAGCTAACTCACATGGGAGGAAAGCCATAGACACGTGATAACACACTGCCAATGTCATAGCTACTGCTTGCATGTGATATGTGTGGATACATTTGCTCTCCAGGATCGCTGCTATTCTCATATGTTGTTTTAACCCCCCCCCCCATCTTTCATTTTCCCATTGCTGATCAGTTCTCAGAAGTGCTTAGTGCGCTATAGATGTATAGATATAGCTGCCAGTTTTGTTTTTAACTTGCTGTGCTTTAGGGAAGGCCAGCGCCCTTATATATTGCATAGTTGACAAAGGAATGCCGACTAGAGTATGGCTTGTAAGTCTAAAAAGAGAAGTGTCAAAAATCAAAGGTGAGTGTGTGTGTGTGTGGTATAAATACATATAATTGGTAATAATTATTAATCGAGTTGTTCTATTTTCTGAATGGTATTGAGCAAACATACAACACCCTCGCACGCTCGTACTCACACTCACGAACGCATGCACGCGCGCACGTAATCGGGTATACTCACGCACGCACGCACGCACGCACGTAAGCAGGTATACTCACGCACGCACGCACGCACGCACGTAAGCAGGTATACTC